CTCAACACTGGAACGCTCCGCAGATTTCTGCGGGCCTCGTCCTCAGCGGCTGGTGCAGCAGCAACCAGCTCTTCTGCCTGCCCGGAGAAATGCAATTTCGAATATGTTCTATAATTTGTCAGGGTCGTGTGTTTGATGGACAGTGTTCCTATTATATCATCAGTCATAAGCATTTTATAGATGTATCTTTATGTATCTTTATGATATTTTATGATTCTTTATGTATCTTTATGATTCTTTATGTATCTCCATGTATTCCTCATGTCACTCTTCAATACTCTTCAATACTCTTCATCTCTTTCTTATGCTCCCTCCTGGTCCGCTGTGGGCTCCGCCGGTGCAGCTGGTGCGGCTGGATCTTCCTGCAATTTGCAATTTGACTCTGGTTGAAATTCAAATCTAAGATGTACATAGATGTACATTGATTCTATAGTGGGGAAGTGTCTACACAAATGAGATGCCCTGACATTTTGTAGAAATAATATTCCGAGAACACCCCGTTTGAACATGTTTGACAATTGAAAAGTTTTGAAAGACATGTTCAATGGAACGCTTCGCAGATTTCTGCGGGCCTCGTCCTCGGCGGCTGGTGCAGCAGCAACCAGCTCTTCTGCCTGCCCGGAGAAATGCAATTTCGAATATGTTCTATAATTTGTCAGGGTCGTGTGTTTGATGGACAGTGTTCCTATTATATCATCAATCATAAGCATTTTATAGATGTATCTTTATGTATCTTTATGATATTTTATGATTCTTTATGTATCTTTATGATTCTTTATGTATCTCCATGTATTCCTCATGTCACTCTTCAATACTCTTCATCTCTTTCTTATGCTCCCTCCTGGTCCGCTGTGGGCTCCGCCGGTGCAGCTGGTGCGGCTGGATCTTCCTGCAATTTGCAATTTGACTCTGGTTGAAATTCAATTCTAAGATGTACATAGATGTACATTGATTCTATAGTGGGGAAGTGTCTACACAAATGAGATGCCCTGACATTTTGTAGAAATAATATTTCTGAGAAAACCCCGTTTGAACATGTCTGAAAGATTTTGAAAGACATGTTCAATGCATTTCAATGCACGTGTTTCATCGTCTCGCTCGGCTTATGGGCTTATGGTTGCCCAAGGTCTCTAATGATTCTAATGATCCTCCACGATCTGGCTGCTATTTCTGGCTCTACAGTGAAACGAACGCTAACGAGCATTTCTGGCTGCCTATACTCTAATCTTTGGCATGCTCACGCCACACCAAATGCAGTGAGCACTATATATAGGCTCAGAATAGCTCCAATGAATTAATGTTGCATACGGGAAAGGCACTGTAACAGCCAGACAAATCCTTGAAAGTCCATAGGACCTCCACAAAACCAAAGAAAAGCGCATCACGTGTTGACATTGACAAGCTCAAACCCTTCATCTCCATCTGGTCCATTCACCTTCTCTTTAGTCTCTGCAGCATCGCCTTGGCCGGCATGCCACTTGCGAAGCTTGAGTCGCAAATCGGCAACTCTGTCGCCTGGGTCAATCTTGATATCTTTTTCTTCACACAGCTGCTTTAAGACTGGCAAACCTGCTTTCCCGATCATCAAGACAAATGGATCCGTAGGTGGGCGGGGCTTGGCTGTGCCCGCGCGGATGCGCTTGGCCTGTACCAAAGCCTGAAGCTCCGACAGGGACAAATGAGTCAAGGGCGTCGTAGACATGCCGCGCAACTCCGGAACGTCTTCAGCTGAGTTGAGCTCTTTGCAGCATTCAGTCTTGTTCATACGAGTATGAGACTTGGGCTTGGTCTGACTGCCGCTCGCTTGCACTAACTGCTGCGCACCCTCCGACATGGTCACAAGGCAGGATAGATGATCGTCTACAACAAACAAACTTGCTCTGTGTCAAACTTGGTAGCCAAAAAGGGCTGGCAGAAGGAATACATCAATATACATCAATGGCCAATGAAAACACCCTCAGCCGATCACAAAATCCTAAAGCTGCACACACCCAATCCATCCCAATCCATCCCGATCCCAGGTTCTCAACACTGGAACGCTTCGCAGATTTCTGCGGGCCTCGTCCTCGGCGGCTGGTGCAGCAGCAACCAGCTCTTCTGCCTGCCCGGAGAAATGCAATTTCGAATATGTTCTATAAATTGTCAGGGTCGTGTGTTTGATGGACAGTGTTCCTATTATATCATCAGTCATAAGCATTTTATAGATGTATCTTTATGTATCTTTATGATATTTTATGATTCTTTATGTATCTTTATGATTCTTTATGTATCTCCATGTATTCCTCATGTCACTCTTCAATACTCTTCAATACTCTTCATCTCTTTCTTATGCTCCCTCCTGGTCCGCTGTGGGCTCCGCCGGTGCAGCTGGATCTTCCTGCAATTAGCAATTTGACTCTGGTTGAAATTCAAATCTAAGATGTACATAGATGTACATTGATTCTATAGTGGGGAAGTGTCTACACAAATGAGATGCCCTGACATTTTGTAGAAATAATATTTCCGAGAAAACCCCGTTTGAACATGTCTGAAAGATTTTGAAAGACATGTTCAATGGAACGCTTCGCAGATTTCTGCGGGCCTCGTCCTCGGCGGCTCCACTTCCCAAAATGGGATATGGTGTAGCAGCAACCAGCTCTTCCGCCTGCCCGGAGAAATGTAATAACTTCGAACATCTTCTATAATTTGTCAGGGTCTTGTGTTTAATGGACAGTGTTCCTACTATATATTCAGTCATAAGCATTTTATAGATGATGCATTCTTTTCGATATACAATAATACAAAAAGAATCAAAAAGAAATATTCATATTTCTTTAATTATCTTTAATATTCTTTAATACAGTCTAATACAGTATTCTTTAATTATCTCTATAAATTCCTAAATATAATTCTCCATCTCTTTCTCATGCTCTCTCCTGGCCCACCATGGTCTCCGCTGGTGCAGCTGGTGTGGCTGGATCTTCCTGCAATTGGATGCAATTGGCAATTTGACTGTGGTTGAAATTCACATTTATATAAGAGGTACGTAGATTCTATAGTGGGCAATTTGTTACAAAATCAAATGCCTATATATTTTATAGACATTTATGTGATTCTCTTTGTATTCCTCATGTAATTCCTCATCTCTTTCTCAAATGCTCTCTTCCTGGTCCACCTTGGGCTCCGCCGGTGTAGCTGGTGCTGCTGGCTCTTCCTGCAATTTGCAATTTTGACTGTGGTTGAAATTCAACTCTAAGAGGTACATTGATTCTATAGTGTGGAAGTGTTTACGCAAATCAGATGCCTATGTATTTTATAGACATTTATGAAACAAGGAAAACATAAAGAACACGCAAACAAATGCAAAAACATCAAATAGAATCACATAGTATCAAATAGTTGTGGACTCAACTAATTTATATTGTACTTATTTTATCTTATTTTGACTAGTCTCTCTCCTGGGCAGAATGTAAAGCTCCATCCCCGGATTTTGGATCCTCTTCCTGAGAGAAGCTGAAACTGCTTAACGATCATCAATCTATGTTTTTTTTTAATGCCCAATCATTTTGTAGGGGATTTTCAAAATCAAGCTACTGGAAGGCCAAAATGGTCAGGGATAATCGGGGATAATCATCTTTCAATAGAGTTTTGTTAAGTACCCTCTCAATCTATAGTGATTTTCTATGATTTTCTGTTCAATCTAACATGTACATACATGTACTCTAAACTGTTTGGATGTTCTTGAACTGTCTAGCTATATGCAGCCGTGCTTCACCTGTCGGCGGCGGCGGCTTTGGCACAGGTTTCGGGAGCTTTGGTTTCACAGAGCTGATTCTGAGTGATGTTTTCCACTCGGATGCTTTCCTGAGATGGATAGAGCTGGCGGCTCGCGTTTACAAGGATTACACATATATACAAATATATGATTCTGATTGATTCTGATTGGCTTTAGATGTTCAGCTTGGGCACGGGTCCCAATAGACGTGATGATGCGATAGTCTGGCGTTTGGACCCATCATCGAGCATCTGGAAACTTAGATTCACAATGATTCACAATGCTTCGCAACTGTGCACACGTCGTTCAGAAATCTTCAACATTATTGAACTAAACATATCCACACATATCCTTCTGACATCTTCTGACTCAACCGCTGCTGGGTCACTCCAACATCCCCTTGCACTGTCCCAACAAGGCTTCGGTACGGTCTCAGCACAAAGCAGAACTGAGCAAATTGTAGGCCACCCTGGTGGTGGGTCTGGATCCATCTTCGCCCGCTTTGAACTATACAATCTGCTTCAAAAATCTTGGGCCAAAAATTGGCTTACAACGCGCGCGACAAGCCAATACAAGCCACATCTATCCACTTCTGCTTCATTTTGCTTTATAAAATGTTGCGTCACCACGTTTTTTTTGAGCAGCAGCCCTCTCTATAATATGATATGAAACCTCATTTGTCATCAACATTTCTTCTCTATAAAGTGAACGTTCTATAAAATGGCTCACGACAATGGTTTTTTGCTTCTCTATAAATTGTTTTCTGGTATTGATCATCTCTTGTAATGCATGGATGTCTTGTCTCTATAAAATGTTTCTTGTTATTTCATGTCTCCCAAAAAATTCTCTATAAAATGTTTACCTTGTCGCTGACCTCCGGAAGTCCTTCACCAAAATTTGTCTCTATAAAAAGTTGGGACATCTATATAAATCTTATATTGAAGACGTATAAAATCATGATTCTCTATATATTGCAGGGCTTGAACTTTATGGTAGCATAGTTTTTCTATAAAAAAAAACATTTTATAAGGGCCTTGAGGCCAGCCTTTCTGTAGAGGAAATGTTTATGGGGATGCATTCGTGATGAAGATTAACCTCAATCTGCTCGCTTACATGGCTACACTGCTGACATGCTTTTGTGCCCACTTGCGTGACACATACGACGGATCGAGTCAAGCGCAAATGAGAGACAAACATGAATCTGCACAAATGGATTGAATCGTCTTCAAAATGTTGAGGCCGCAACCTCAGAAGTGCCCCTCTCATTGAAGAAAATGAATGAGTGACCTTCAAAGTGCTGTGGCACTTGATAAAGTTAAACTCACAATCGAATCTCCACCAAGCATAGCCTGCGCATGAAGTTTCCCATCCAATGGCATACAGAAAACACCAAAAGGTGTGCTCGGATAAGCCTCGCGCAAAAGAAGGCATGCGAACACACATGTGTGACAAACATTGCCTGCACCATCTAAAGATCCCATAGTCTGTCCCTTCTCCCATCGAGCGCACGGGCATTTTACTGCGCTATGGTATGATTGTTACACCCTGTGAAAAGCATCAAACAAGGTGCACGGGATACACAAGAACAAACCCTGCGGATAGAAGGCTGAAACTCGAAACCTTGTCAATACTAATACGTAACATACTGCAATCTGTATCCAAAGAATTCCATACTACTGCAGCTATATAGATAAAAGTTGCGCAATGGCAAGACTTCAATCGATGATGAAAGTATGATGCATGGTTCTTCAACCACAGCAAAATCATCACCTTGCACAAGCACGAACTGGGTACATGCTTGATACACAGCCATGGCGTTTTCACACCACGACCGCTATCAGCTATCAAGCGCCCATGCACCCCATCTCAGAAGCTCTTATATTTCCTTAGCTGCCTGCTCTTTTAGCAGCACGCAGCATGCTCTTCTATTTCATCTTCAAGCTTTCTTTGCAAGAACGCGTGTGGTTTCGGGGTCATCACGAATATTGGTGAGTAGGTTCACAACATCACACGTGACTGCATAGTGTTTTCCAGGCGGCAAGAGAGAAAGTTTCGTGGAGGTTGCTGCATGCAAACAATAACATCAATCCAGTGCCAGATGTGAATCAAAGCAGCTTTTTGCGTCACCTATGAGTGTGAAAAAGTGCCATGACCTGTCATCAACATTCTAATCACCGGGATTGTGATGGGCTGCGGTTGACGGAGAACTGCAAGTCAAGTCACAAGAAAGCCAAACAGCCCGAAAGGTCAAACTCGCGCTTGAAAGACCGTCTACAACTTCAACTGTGTAACACCAACTGTTTTTGCAACTTCACATGAACGTCAACGCCACCCATCCCACCCCACCCCACCCGTGCTCAGCGAAGCATCAACTCCACTTGCAACTTCACATTCAAGTGCGCCAAAAAAACCCACAAAAATTCTCCCAAGTGGCACTGAAGGAAACGTCAAAAGTGCTGCAAATACATGCAACTACCACACGAAATTGTGTCCGAAAGTGTGAAAAGCCACGGTCGCCTATCAAGCGTGTGCCAACTACCTACAACCAGGACCACATCTGTACCAACAAGTAGTCGTGGCATCATACTTTGGGCAGAGACAAAGCAGCACCACGGAAGCACTTAGACTTAGAGTCGCACCCGCCCTAGGTTGTACTTACTATTCCCTTGTGTGTCCGGACTTTGATTTCCATGCATTTAAAGAGATCTCGTTGGCTGAGTCTCTTGTCGTTGCTTTTCTCCCACTTAAACTCCCAGTTTTTGCTTTCAGCAGTGCCTTGGGAAAAACAATGTGATGTTTTTTCCCTACTCGGAATTGACTGTTCGATGTAGACAATTGGGATTGAACAAGCAGTGAGAGCTTGTCGATCCAGCAGATCTGACACCATGCACGCTGGTGCGAACATGTTACGTGGAATATGTTTGAGGCAACAGGATGTTGATGTGATCAATGGTGGTAATAATAGCGGACCAAAGCTTTCAGAACTTCACCCCTGTTGCGCTACTTGCTGCCTCGCAGTCCTTGCATGATGTTCTGATGTTCTGTTTCTCAAGAGCTATATAGTTCATACAACAGCTAGTGAAAGCATGAAAACTGGTGTCCGTACAAACCATACAGTATAACAGTACAACAAACAAATGGTTCATGCACTCACAGAGAGTCCTCGCGAGGATGAGCACCGCCCGGACCACAATTGATCTTTTGCATGGCCTGGCTTTACGGGCTCCAATCTCGTACACCTTGCTGCCCACTTGAAGCTCTGAGCTTCCAACAGAGATAGGGCATTCTTGAAGACATTGAGGGTACTCCAAATCCAAGCCATTGCCTGTGGAGTTCAAACACCTGTCAAAGTGAGATGCCAGTCAAACAGAGTTTCGAGTCTTCAGCACCTACAACACACAAAACACCAGCGGCGCCAGAAGGTGTAGGAAGTTGGCGGAACCTTTAGCAGGTCGTGTGGGTCATCGACCTGGCCAAAAACTGCAAGTCCGAGACGTTTGCATCAGTTTCTTCCCTTTAAAGGGCCTTCCTGGTCGTGCACAATAGTTTGTGAAAGCTGTACCTGAGAAACACCAAACATTACATAAAAACCAACTGGCACCATCCAAACAACAAGGCATGGGCACCCTTGAGTGAGCCTTCTCAAGTCTGCCTTGTGGACATAACTGCAGCTCAACCAACCAACCCCTGCACAGGAGAAGAAAACAAGTTCTTAAAAGATCCAGGCACCAAATCAAGCATGCGAAGAAGGCGAATTTTTACATCCCAGTCACTAGCTTCTCGGGCTTGCTCAAATATATGTATGTACTGAGAAGGGAGGGGACGAAAGCCAGCCCTCGTAAACACTAGAGCAACGTCGTGTTGTAGTCAAGAAACTCCAAGGAGCGATGTGAATGTGCCCAACACTTCTGCAGAGACCCTCTGGCAAAACCCTCTTCATTCGCAAGATTCATGTTAAGTGCTCGAAGATGCATCTGCCGCACCCTGCTTTGGCCACTGTCCTTTTGCCAGAACCCGCTTTCGGAGGCGCACTCTTTTGCAGGTGGCTGCCAAACAAAGCCGGAAAGGGGCAGCAACAAAACTGTTCCTTAAGGTCTGTTCTGGGGGCACTTGTTGCTAGAACCCATTTTTCCAGAGGTGCATTTTTTCTTGCGAGACAATCCTCAAACACAAACGCAGAGGGGCAGCAGCCCAGAAATGTTGCTTAAAGGTGTTGCTTCGGCTCTCAGCATTTAGATCTGTAGAACACACCGTCTTTCCATACTTGGGCCTGCATCGACAATTCATTCATCTCAACCAGCGGCTCGCAAGATTCAATCAAAGTGCTCAAGAGTACATCTGCCATGTCCTACTTTGTTACGGGCCTTATCGCCAGAACCCGCTCTTCGTGCCCTGTTTGCCCGAGATGGCCCTCAAAGAAAGCGCAAAGGGGCATCAACCAAGAAACTCTGGCTCCCTGCATCTAGATCCATGGTACTTGGCTGATACCACACATTGCCTTCTTATTCATTGGGGTCCTTATAGTGGTGACATGCCTGCTTGCAGGCTGCCGTCTTTACTATTACAGCTGACCGCTTCCATTTTTGCTGGGGAAAAAACACACACATAACTGGACATCCTGCTGTCCATTTGAATGAAATCATGGCCACGTGATGATGCAAAAAATGCACGATTAAGCCTCTTTGCAACAGTAGAACTACTGGTGGCATTGCTGCTTCCCACCAACGCGCCTGAGAACACCAGAATCGTGAAGAGCAAGAACCGCACATCCTCAGACAACCAATCTTGAATTCGTCAACGCAATGCACAACAATCTCTCCATTCCATGGTTTTAAGCACATTTTACTGAGCAAAGAACTGTGCACTGGCGCTCCACTTCGTCTGGAAGAATTCCTATTCTAGGTGGTTCCTGCAGAACACGGGCCAGATTGAAATCTACAAGTGAAGGATCCTTCTATATAGAACAATTCAGAAAGAGACGCTGTCAGGGCCCCCCAAAATGGACGTTTCTGAAAATACATTGAATTATAAACATGCATTATGTTATCTTTATATACAGCAACTAGATAATAATATTAGCATGTCTTTTTGGCTGATCGTAATCAAAAAAAATCTAGCAAAGAGTACAAACGTACAACCTGGATCGATAGAAAAAAGCAAGGGACGCTGTCTCTCTAAGAAAAATCTGACTTCTCTAATAAAACAAGCATCCATAAGGTGTAGTAAACTAGGAGCCTTTGGCAAAGGCTGGGACGAGGGGTCGACAAAAAAGAATTGGTCGACCCCCGCTCCAGATTAGGAGCCTTTGGCAAAGGCCAGGAGGAGGGTCGACCGAAAAAAAGAAACAACGTTTCAAAAAATATAGATGATCTTTTCCGGTCGACCCCACACCCAAGGAAGAAACTCCAGCAAATGTAGGAGAGTTGGATACTTTTAATATTTGTTCGGTCGACCCTCCTCTCAAGAAAGACGAGTGGGAGCCTCCAGCCAAGTCTAGTAGAGCAGAGTGAAAAGAACTTGTGTTTTTTTGCTTTGAACACTAATGTTCACAATTTTTGGAATGTATACAGCCTACTTTAAACTAAGCTGTAAGTAGCGGGCTGGTCGCTACATAGCTTTAGCTATTAGTAGGGGGGCATTTTTTGTGGGAACGAAAAGGCGTATTCTGCATCATGAGCTGTGTCTGGGAGACGAGTGGAATGGGAGAAAACATGGAAAAAACACATGGTTGTGACATATCATCTATGCCATCTATGCCTGACTCTTTTTCTCACTATTGTATCATTTGCACCACGACGTCCTTGAAAGGCAAAGAAACGATTCCTCTCAGCTGTCCATGTCTTAATATATCTTTCATGCTTGCATCATATGCATCAGCTGGTTGCAACAGTATATATAGTTTATTATGGTAGCATACGCATCAAATGGTTGCCGGAGTGTGTCATTTTTGTACAGAATGCCTGCAAATTAGAAAAGTTGGATCGCCTGAAAAATGAACAATTTCAAGGGCGTCGAAAAGTATTTCCAACAATGCTTGCAAAAGAACTGTAAGGAGGTCCAAAAATAGAGTGATCATAGACACTTCTCTATATATATATGTATGTTATTCATCCACTTCATGCGGCGTTCATCTCTAAGTTTTGTGTCGATCATGCACATTGTATGGTTTGTGTATATATGCACGCTATTTGTTGACCCCCTTGAAATTGTACCTTTTTCAGGATCCACTTCATGCTGCCATCTCTAAGTCTTGTCTCGATCATGCACATTGTATAGTTTATTGTACATAATCACTATTTTTCGACCCCCCTGAACATGTACAATTTCAAGGTCGTCGAAAAATAGATCCAACAACGCAAAATGCAAGTATGGTAGTCAGACTGGGTCAGCGAGCGTCTATCAAAGGGCTCTTCGGTGTTCTCCCGCTGCAAAGTCTTACAATGTGGGCATAAATCAAAATAAAAACGGTCAAAACACAGACCCTGCTTGGTTTTGGGATCCAGGCTTCCTACGAACACATTGCTACTGGAGCATCGCTACACAGCAGCTTCTGTCCGAAAAGTGCTGCTCACCAGCTGCAGAAAGCATTCGTCGGAAAATTGCAGGACACACAGCTGAAACAACGCATCGCAGTCTGCCAACTCATGTGAAGCAAGTTTGCGTCACTAGCACAGAAGGAGATACTAGAAAATCTGCGCCCAAGGCCTGGTGTGGCCGGTGCTTTCAAAACATGGACTTCTTACGCCATCACTAAACAGGAGCAGTTGGTGCGAGCGCCTACTCTTCGGATCTCTTCGGTTTCATGTGCTTGAGACATTCAGGTTGGTATGTATAGAAACAGCCGTTAAGCTGCAACTCCTGTTTTGGGCCGCGAGCTGCGAAAGGTAGATCTGCGTGACATCCTACTATGTGCAAGGTACAAAGTGTACATATTACATGGAGTGAAAATACACCCCCCTCAGCTAAGGTAGCTTTGCTCCCGAAGCTGGACGCGGAAAGTGCACGAGGGCTTGTGCAGGGCGCGACAGTGATGTCGGCTCAAAGCTGCATGGCAGTTGTGGATGCTAGCAATCCACTGCCTTCGTGGCCCTGTACGTGCATTTTAATTATTCACTCCCCGCCGCCAAAAGAAATTGAAAGTTTGGACTTGGGAGGAAAACCGCATACATATTGACAACGGATGTCATGCAATGAATTATGCTCGCTCAGGCAAAAAGGTTGAGACTTGGCTCAACTAACGCCAATGCCACTGGCTCCGACTCGAGCTCCAGTCCCACGAACGGCGGTCCCACTGCCGCTGCTCGCCCCACTCGCTCCAGTTCCATGAGCTCCATCCCCACGAGGACGATGCTGATCCGGATGCACGTGGGCTCACCGGTGAAGGTGGCGGACCTCCCTTTGCCTTTGAAGCTGGAGTTCCATCACCTCCGGTAGAGGACTTGCGCTTGCCCTTGCTCTGCCGCTGGCGCTGCTCTTGAGTCTGCTTGTTGACCACATCACGCCTGGCAGCGGAGAGGTTGTCGTGGCATAGCTGGCGAAGCTCCTCCATTGCGCAGTATTGGCTCATCTGATGCACGCCGTCCCAAGCCAAAAGGCCACGATGGGAGTCGGGTGAGTTGATGTACTCGATGTACTCACGCAAGGAGAGGATGTTTGTGCGATAGATCACGCACCATTGCTCAGGAATGTAATCCATGGCTTGTGGATAGCGATCGGGCGCTACGTCGATGTAGGCCAGCCGTGCCAGAGAATGATCTTCGTCATATCCAAGGCCCAGGCTGACTTGCGCTTTGTTGCGCGGCGGGTTCGCCAAGTGAGCATGGCAAAGCCAATCCTGCCGCTGCGCTGCCCGATGGTCATAGCCCATTTGCAGCATTCGTTCCATGAACTGGACGTCATGCTCGAAGCGATCCTCGATGCTCTGGAAGCCACACTTGTCTGCACGCTTCATCCGGCTGCGAGCGTCTTGGATCATGATCGCTTCTGGGCTCATGTTTCCACGGCCGCTTACAGACACCACACGCAGGTTGAGGCCAGCCTTGATATAGTCGCTGACTGGGCACTCAGTGCGAGCGAGGCCGGCCCTCGCAAGCTGCTGCTTTCGGAGAACTGAGAGTCTGGTGACCGCTTCCTCCGGCAGCTCGGTGTTGGTGGCAAGTTCGGCTGAACAAATGTCACAGTGGGTCATGCCCCTGAGGACTAGACCCTTGCACTGGCTGCATTCAACCTGGATCACCGTCAGCTTGCGTCCCTTTCGAAGTGTCGGGGCGGTGATCGGTGCATCAAAGCCAGGTGGGGGCCCCGCAGGCTCAGGCGGAGCGTACCCGCTGTAAGATGCTGCAGGTTGATCTTGCTCTGCCTCATTCGCGATGGAAGTAGGTGGAGTCGAAGGTGCAGCCTTGCTTGCAGGTGCCGATTTGCTGGTTGCAGTCAGGGAAACAGGCATTGCTTTTGCGGTTGGCCGGGGCTCGCCAGTGATGGCGGCCCGGCTCTCACCTCCATCCGCTGGAGCAGCCTCAGGTAGGCCAACGGCACTTACCCTGGTCCAGAGTGTGGACTGGCTTTCGGTGTTTTCGGCGGAGACAATGTATTCTGGAGGTACCGTGTCAACCGTCATGATCCCACCGGAGCGGTTCTGGAAAAAGATGAGACCGCCATCGACTGCTTCCCGAAGTGCAACGGTAAGCTGAATGGGGTGCTTGCCACGGAGACCGCTTTGATAGTCGGTCTCCGTAATGCGACTTGCAGCCAGGTAGACATGGGCTCGATCGCTGCCAACAAACTCGCCCCCGCCTGCCGTAAGGCTCCACAGCCGTCCCATGTACAGCTGTTTCAACAAGAAGAGCTGCAGCTTTCTCTTGATACCGACAGCTGTCGTAAGAAAGAACATGCTAGCATGGTGCACGGGGAGGGTGCTAGTGTCATGTGTGACTTGGCGTTGCTGCTTGCATCACCAAGAACATGCAAAAGCCAAGTGTAAAATAAGTTAAGCTTTGTAGCGCCCAGTTGTCAATGGTTGGGCAGCTCCGCTACCATGATGCCACTGGTCAGTGCAGGTTTCTGAGGGGCGTGCAGTGTGATTGAGGCAGCTGCGCAGCGCGCAGGGTGCATGTGTTCAGTGCAAGTCTGTTTTATTCCAAACAGCAGAACGCAGTTGGGTTTCAATCTCTGGGGTTGGCAGTGGTGCACAGTCTGCGGGGAATAGAATAACGCCTTCAACCGTTGGCAGGGAAAAAGGTTTGCTGTGCCAGAGGGCTTTTTTTCCTACTTCTTTTTACTCTGGCCTGGTGGGATCACTCGAAGCTCTAGCCAATATCATATATAGTAGCTAGATATATATATATAATATATGAATATATATATATATAGATCTCCACACAAGCAAGCATGTTGCATGTGTTTTTTTAAACGCAGCGACGCCTCTCTACACTAGAGAGTTCCGAGAAGCATTCAGTTTTGAAACATGTTTATGTTTTCTACAGGTGCTGTGTGAAGCACGTGCGAGCGCGGCTGCCTTCTGAGTTCACATCACAGCCGGTCGACCGCCAAGCCATTTGGGGCGCCAGGCGACATAGGGCTTAATTAAAGGAGGGTTTGTGCAATAGGGGTCCCTATACGCTTGGCTTGGCTGGCCTCCTGAGGCTGTTCGCAACTCAGTTTCTGAGAAAGAGCGAAGGTTTTTTCCATCTCTCACCAGCTCTAGCCACGCCGGCCCAGGGATCACGATCTCTGACCTGCGGCAGTGCCGCCGTCGTGTTTTCTGAAGAACTTTGTTGAAGCGTGTCAGGGTACCCGTTGCGTGACCTGTGCAACGCCTCGGCCTATAGTGGCTCTGAACCTGTGCCCCAAGCTTCCACCCCTACGTTTCGGTGATGTTGGTGGCTCATGAGGAGAAACCCTGGCGTTCCG